CACAGACCATCTGAAGCAGACTACCTCATATCTCTCATGTTCTCGCATTACGATCGCAATAACGACGGAATGCTGGAAAGATCTGAACTGGAACTAGTGTCTGTGGACGAAGACATGAAGCAGCTTGCCAGCGGCTGTGACCTCGCTGACCTAATCATCTTTGATGATGCCAACAAGGACGGGGTTCTCAACGTCAATGAGTTCTACGAGGCTTTCTCCAAGCTTTACAGTATGTTCCACTCAAAATGTCTGCATATATATGAAAGAAAAGCGAGATTCCTTTTTTTTTTTTTAGAAAGTACAGTATATGTTACAGATTTTAAGCTACATGAAAAACACATCCAGATATTCAAGATGCATCTGACGCAATTACTCAGCCTGCAAAGGATTTTAATTTCAAGTACAAATCCTAGATTTACTGCAAAAAAAATATGGAAAGCTGGAGCATCCTCACTTCTTGGATGTTAAAATATGACTATTATTTCTTCTGATCACAATTATAAAAAAGACACAATCACATAAAATCAGCAAGTGAAATTGCTTCCAAAATAATCCAACGTGTGTCTATATGTTATGTTATCTTCCATTTACGTGTTTTTAACTCTGAACATATGAAAAACGGATCAGGTCTTTATTTTTTACAGGTAATTTTGATGAATTTTTTCACGCTACTTTTCAAGAATGGCCATATTTCATAAAAAAATATAAATTTCTCCATTAATAAACGCTGCATCTTCACTAGACATTTTTTGTTGTTTCTGATTGTCAATATTTGTTTAAAATTTCCATAATCCAAGGTGTATCCGTGATATTTTCCAATTAAACTTTCAAGCAGCACTACTCTATATATATAGACATGGTTCATTTCGTTGATTAATTTCTTCATATAATTTTGATGAATTTTCCAAGTTTTTTTTCAAATTCTGACCAATAATGGTTTTACATTCCATGAAACATACTTTTCTCACGGAAATTCGGCACCTTTTCGTGCCATTCGTTTTGTTTCTGAATTTTAATTTTTGTTGACATTTTCGTAATCCAGGGTGTGTATCTGTGGTATTTTCCATTTAAGCGGTTTAATCTTCCAGGTAATTTTGAAAAATTCCAAAGTCTGACCAAATGCTTTAAATATTCCGTAAATAACATTCTCGCGGAAACTCGGCGTCCTCGTCGCGAGTGCCATTCTTGATATTTTTGCGTGTTGTTAGTCGGTAAAAAAAAAAATAATAATGTGCAAAAATCCAAAAGGTGTGTCTGTGGTGTCCCTGGACAAGGCCCTGGAGAAGAATTTCGTGCAGGCCCGGGTCGGAGAGAACATCGAGATCAAGTGCGACGTGACGGGTTCCCCGGTCCCGCCGATCATCTGGACCCGGTACGGAGTTGACCTTTTGTCCCTCAAGGACGGGTCAATCCGGGTCTTCCACGACGGCTCCTTGTACATCAGCGACGTCCAATTGACTCACGGCGGCGTCTATGCCTGTCACGCAGAACGCAACGAGGACGTCGTCCAGACCCACGTCCTCAATGTCACCAGTGAGACGACGATGACGAATCCTCGCTTCTTTTTTTTTTATATCTCATTTGACCTCGTGTCCTCGTCATTAAGTTAATTGTGTTACCCCGATATAAAGAGATGAAAAAAAGTGAAAGGTTAGCCGTTGAATAGCGCGTCTGCGACACAAATAAATATAATTTTTTTTCGATGAAACTCGTGACCCAGGGTCAGAGTCGGAGAATTTAGCGAGCCAAATACAATCTCTTGGGCATTCAGCATCAAGATAAGACAAAAATGCACTAGCAGTAAAAAGTAGACTCAATATAATTTCGAAATGATGGAGAATCTTCTTCTAAATCTAGGTAAATTAAATTAGACGACCTTCATTCAATGAACTAAAAATGGGGAAAATGTAACTGAATGGTTCTAATATTCAACGACGAATTTACGTTTATTTCCATTTTTATTTCTTGCATCTTCCATGAGTTATTTACTCTGTAAAGAAGTATAATTAAATAACTCGCCTGTAGAACAAATATACAATATTTTTGTCAAATAGGTGACCCAGGGTTAGAGTCGTAAATTTAGTTTGCCATTTTGATGATTTATTAATGACACTGCATGAAAAATATCTGTATTTTCTTTTTCAGATGTGTATCACATTTGGATTATGTGGAATCTTTCTGTCAATCATGTTTAGTAAATTTAAATGACCATCATTATGATGAGCTAAAAATGAGGCAGATGTACATATCATAATTGTTCTGATATTGAAACTCAAGTGTCCACATCGAGAAACATTTTAAATTAAAGAAGAAAATTATATTTATTCGGCACCTATATAAACTTTATTTGAGTCTAACTGAAGGTAAAACTATTTTTGGGAAATATAGATTTAAAAAAAAGGAATGATCTTCTTTGGAAGTTACAAAAAAAGCTCCTGGAAAATCTGAACAACGATTGCGATGCTGCGATTTCTTTGTGCTTTACAAGAAAAAATACAATTTTTTCTAGAGAAGAACACATTTTTAAAAATCTCTCGTTTTTCTCTCATGCGTCATTCCGTGAAGTAAATCGAATTACAAAAATTTGAATAGACTCACCGCAATGGCGTCTGAAAGAAGAAATCACTGAACAAAAAAGAAGTGCCGCATTCAATGTAAAATAAAAAAATATATTTATTGGAGGATGATGAAAGGCAGTCTGCCTTTCTAGAACCTCTTGATATATTCCCTCATCTCTTCACATCCTGTCATCTTTATTATTTTTTCTCTTTCACTCTCTTTGAAAATATATGACTTAATCTTTTGTGGGAGCCAAGAACAGAGAGGCATTGAAAGGGGCTTCTATCCATCCACTCTTCATGTTCCTCAAGTTGGTACCCCCGTTTTTTTTTTTTTTTTTTTTACCCCACCGATCATTTCAGCTGTCCCGGACGTGAAAGTAACCCCTGCCATCCAGGCCCTGGCCCCGGGCCAGGACGCGTCCGTCGAGTGCTGGGTTTCTTCCCAGTCGTCAGCCAAAGTCACGTGGCTCAAGAACGACGAACCCTTGCAGTTGTCAAAAACACTCAAGTACCAGGTTTGTAATTCAAATTCCCGGGCCAGGACGCGTCCGTCGAGTGCTGGGTTTCTTCCCAGTCGTCAGCCAAAGTCACGTGGCTCAAGAACGACGAACCCTTGCAGTTGTCAAAAACACTCAAGTACCAGGTTTGTAATTCAAATATTTTTTTTTCTAAAATCCGTTCCCGATTTCCGTAAATTTTACCGATGGGATTTTTAACGCAAAAAATGAACCAATTATCTGAATTTACGTTTTTAATTGATGATCGATTATTGCAGATTTTAAGCTGCATTAAAAACATTACAGATGCAAAAGACATCTGAGTGCTGAGGCAGTTACCCAGCCTCCAAGGGAATTTAATTTTAAAAGTACAAAACTGCATTATGGCTGCAGAAAAATAAGAGAAGCTGGAGAATCCTCACTCCTTGGATGTTAAAAGAGGACTCTTATTATCCTCTGTGATCACAGGTTTCACAAAGACAACAGTCACAAACACAATCAGCAAATACAATCTTGCATTGTGCAATAAAAACTCACTTTCAAAAAGAAATAAAATCAACAAAGAAAAGATGCTTTGCCTATGGCGCAATTCCTGATGCTCAAACTTCCGAAGCTAATAACTCCGCGAATTTTACATTTAGAAAATTCCACAAAATTTTAAATTGAAGCCAAAGATGTTCTTCAACTTTTCTTGTATCCTATAAATAATTAACCCGATTGACAGATCTTGAGATATTCTCACTTTTCTAAACCTAACTTTTCTTAGGTGATAAGAATTCGGAAAACCTTCATGCCAGATTCTTACTGTATCTCACTGATGCACAAGCTTTTGGTGCAAACAAGCAGTGACTTCAAAAGCCTTGTTTCTAAATGTAGATGAATGAATTTATTTCTGCAACAATTGATGATTCAACAGCTTTTTTTAAATATCAGCATCTTGTCTTGTTTTGAAAGTCTCTAGAAATGCGGGTAAATGGCAAATTAGGTTGGATATTTTTAAATCCAAGTGAAAAAAAAGTCACAAGAAAACACGGGCTTCCCAAAATTATCAGCAAATCCTCGAGGAGCCCCGTTTTCTCACTAATAAATTTTTAAGTAGGATGTTTCCACACTATAAAAAAGGCTGGATTTTTTTGCAAATAAAACGCAGAATTTCCAGAGGAGGAACTCGGGACAATTTGGCAGGCTTTGAAAGAGACGGTTTTTGCAGCATTACGTTGCTCCATGTTCTGGAACTGGTCTTATTTTTTTTGTGAGATTTTTCGTCAAAGTGGCAAATCACACAAAGGAAAAGAGGAACAACAATACAGTACTGTACTCTAAGAAGGGTAAAAGCAGCGCAGTACTTCTCAAGACTGGTATTTTATTCAATAGAAACCCTTCAAGTTTTGTGGGGCGATTAGCGAAATTAGATCTTATTTCTCCTCTGTTCTATATATATATATACTGTACATGACTGTTTCAAAGCCCAATCAACTTTTTTGACCTGAGTGCTACTCCGACGTAATTACCTGGAAAAGTTTTAGGTACTGAGCTGCAATTACGGACCAGCGAGGGTACTTTTTCTTCCAGCACTCAGGTTTTTTTGTATTTTGCGAAAATATTGAGGGCTTTTCGAAAATTATATAGAGAATTCCTGATGGGAGAAGTCATGAATTTTGTCCTTACTTCTTAATAAAGTTTTTGCAATTTATTATTCTCGACAAAATTGCGTGTGACTTCACTATTAGATTCATCAAACTTGGAAGCATGGTTTTTTTTTTTAGAATTCGAGCTGGTTGATGCCAGAGAAAAAATCGTATTTTGATTTTTTCTCGGATCGCAAATATTTCATTGATTATGGCACACATAAATTCTTATCAAGTTTAATAATCAGCTTTATTATAATTGGAAAGCATGAATTTTTTTTTACTTCATGAGTATTCGAGGACGATTCCAAGAAAAAAGATCGTATTTTGATTGTTTTCTTTTAGGATCGGAAAAAAATTTATTGATTATGGCACGGATATAAATCGTTTTTTTTGTTGTTGCTGAAAATTCGTCGGAATTGTGTAAAGGAAAATTCTCGAAAAATCTTGAAATATCCCCTTCGAAATACAGTAAAAAATTATTTTCTTCTGCTTTTATTGTCACATTTAAATTCACGTGAATTCCCTCGCTACTCGGAAATAAAAGATTAAATACGACAAATTGTTGTCTGGATTTATTTATTCTTTCACTCATGCACGTAACGGATAAGTTATTAAACTTTTAAAGTGATTGAATCGGTTTTAGGTTGAATGTTTTTCTCTCTTTTCTTTCAGTACGATACAGTATATCCATTAAGAAAATAATTTTACTCGAAAAACGTTCAAAAAATTGCTGAAAGCGAGGGTCTGTGCTTGCTGTTGATGCAATTGCTGGAGAAACTAACACTCTCTGAATCCTCTAGCTCTGCCGCATTTAAATCGTCTGCTCGGTGATTTCGCTCATTGATTGATTGATTGACACGAATGGGATATTCGATTGCAGATTGACGGCGATGGGCGGCTGTTGACTGTCAAGTCCCTGGCCTACGCGGACACCGGCGCCTACATGTGCGAGGCGACCAATAATGGCTGCATGCATCGTGGGATCTCCTCACTTGTCATTCAAGACGAACCTCAACCAAGTGGGATTTTTATTTCATTTTCACTGATGAAAAAATGCAGTAGAATCTCGTTTACACCGAAGCGTTTGGAACATTATATACAAAAGCGTCCTTGAAAACGGAAAATTCCTCAGAACAAAATTGAAAAATCATTTTGGCAGGCTATTGGGCGGGGACATGTACCCAATGTTGCTTGTACAACAGACACTATTCAAATGCCAGAAAATGGTCAGTTTATTAAACAGGAAAACTTTTGAGAATGTCAGTCAGAGATGACCTATCATATATAAGGAAAGATAGCAGGAAAAGTTTGACCTTGGAGGTCATAGAGGAATTTTTCCTTGAGGAGAAGGCTATGAGAGTTTTGGTGGCATTGGGTTCTCCATCCTTGGTGATTGCGTGAGTTCTGAGATTTTACCCGTCTTGGAATTTTTTGCAACATCTGGAATTGTTCTGCCAAAAAAATCGCGTTTTTCTTTGCTGGTCTAAATTCGGAAATGCTTTTGTTTTTCTCTGACAATTTTTCCTGTGCAGCTGTGAAACCTGCCCCGAGTCTCTTGTTGGTTTTCTCGGGAGAAGGGATTGGTTTGTACAACCCAGAATCTTGTCGCATCATCAGGCAAATCCAGGGCACCGACATGATTCCAGGCACACAACGCTACGTTTGTTCAGGGGACTCTCAGGTAAAAAAAAAATTTCAGAAGTAACTCTGAATTATTTCTGTCGAATTTTGAGAAGATCTGACTGATTTTCACTGTGCCACAACTTGAATTCCTTCCAAGAGAAATTTTCTCAGTGATAATAAGCTAATCTCAATAATCAATCTCNAAAGAACAAGTTTATTTTTGTGTGTCATAAGTGGATGTTCTCCCACACATGCATATTGTTGGGAAACCACTGCAGGCACACGCAAAGTAATATTAATAATTAAAAACTACAAAAACCGCAAAATCAGATAAGAGTTCCAACCCTCAAAGGGAAGGAACTCACCAAGGCTAACTACACTATATAGTTGTTGTCACTAAAGTAATGGCAACAAGGTGCAAAAAAGCGGCAACAATACTAAAATTTTTTTTTACAATTTTTTGGTTTTAAAACGCGTATCTAATGTGTTTTAGTATTGTAATGAATCCTATCCAGGTGTAACTTGAGTTATGCCTGGATAGGATTCATTACCCAGACGACAAAAAGAATTAGCTGTAACTAGAAGGCATTTTGAAACGCCCATAAGATACGCATTAAATAAAATCAAGAGTAGGCGTAACATACAGAGGTACAAAACGCGTAGCATTTTTGGCTAGAAATGCATTTAAAACGCATTTTAAAATGCCCAAATTATTTGCTGGGATCAGAAAACAATAGAAACCAGAAACTGATTTCCATTTTCCTCCCAAATTCCACCAAAGAATGAAATTCAAAACCACATTTGCGATCAAACTTTTGGGTGAAGGACTACAAAATCTACAAAATTGTGTCTGTGGAAGAGTTCTGTTGAGTTGTTGTGTTTGGTAAAAATTGTGTCTTTGTGCAATTAACTTGTGGGACAAATTTTGAAATATATCCATTCAATTTAAACTAGGAAATCCAAAAAAGGATTCCCGGCCTTGTCCCAGGCTGATTATATTTTTCATTTCTTAAATTCGAACCTTTTAAAACTGATCCACTAGCAAATATTAAAAATTTATGCTGAGGTAAGTTATTCCTCAACACATATTCAATAAGGGGAATACTGTAATAGCCCTTTTATTCCCTAGAAAATAACTGATTCTCTGACTGATTAATTTTAAAATCTGTCTCATCATCATGTATTGTATATGTAAATATAGATCCCGTGTCGCTGGGGCCAGGCAGTGAATGTCGGTGAGCGCTACGTGTACGCCACTCAGCCAGAACTGCACCGCCTCGTCGTGCTAAATTTGGCACAAATGGGCGTCACGGAGGCCATTGAAACGGACCCATTCCCGGCTCGTCTGCACTACGTGCCTGCGTGGGACCAACTCTGGGTGCTCAATTGGCGCAGCAATGCTGACGTGGGCAACAAGACTCTGCAAGTGGTCCGACGGGCCTCGCAAAAGGGGCCGCACCAACTGGTGCACCCGGAACCCATTCAATCCCACTTTGACCTGGCCTACAGACTATTCCTGCCTGACCAACAGGTGCAAAAATAACGCGATTTTTTTCTTCAAATCTTGTATTTCATTCATCTTGAGTGAAAGCATCTGTTTTCCTGCAGCTGTTGTCCTTTTTACATTTTTAGATTCATTTCCAAACGAGATTCTCAAATGATTGTATTCTTTTAAAAAATGTTTTTTTTTTTCATGAACCTGACGTTTTTTTTTTTATTTATTTCATTGCATATAGGAATTGGACGTGAAATGGCGATATGGTTACGTCGGGCATGAAAACCAAAGAGGACTTTACAAGCTCGACTTGAAAGAAATGCGTTTTGTGCGGAATGTGGACCTGACACCATACAACTGCGTGCCCAACAACGTGGCATTCATTTCTCGATGTGAGTCATTCGAATTCCTTCTCTTTCGATTTCGTAACAATATTTTTTTCATCCTCCCAAAAAAAAAAAAATAAAAAAAAATGTCGCATGCCTCTATATAATGTCGTGTTTCTTGAAAATGTTTTTCTGCGTCAGTTGGGATGGTGTTGGTGGAGTGCAAAGAGCCAGGAAGTGGGAAGCCCTCGGGGCAAGTGATCTTGGATCACCTCAGCGACTCAGTCATTCAGTACAAGCCGGACTTCTTCGGAGTGCCTCGTGTGTCGCCCGACTCTCTTCATGTCGTCACCATCAACCACCAGTTGGATGGAAGCTACATGCTTGGCATACAGAAAGCGGAAAGTGCGTCATCTATGCCTGTCACACGAGCACCTTTTGCATAATTTGTGCCAATTTTCATGCTTTTGTTAAGAGTGTTTTTCAAGATTATTTGCTCTGTGGAGTTAGGAGTCAACTGAGTCAATTCTACTAATGTGAGGACAATTGAAAGAAATTTGACTAGCAAGAAAGTACTCTACTGGTATTGATGTGAACTGTCGTGAACTTGGAATTGAATGGGGTTAAAAGAAATTACGTTTTTGAAAGCAAGTTTGGAATAGCGGGCCCTAAGATTTTTTTTATGAAGCTTAACTGTTTGGCGGATGAGTGAGGAGAATTTAAAGCCTGCCAATACAGGATTTTAAATGCGACTCCCACGAAATTGATACTTGAATTAGCTGTCGTGAAATTGGGTAAAACATATATTGCTGTTTTGGAAATCTAAGTTTAAGATCTTGGGAAGGGACCCTGAATTTTTTTTATGAACCTTAGACATTTGGCAGATGAATAGTGATTTGATTTTCAAAATAATTTGTTACGTAAAAAAAAAGAAACTGAGACTTATCTATGTATAGCCAAGTTCTTAAGACATTCACTTTTTCAGCATAGAAGAATTGAGAAAAAATTCTTTCGAAATTTAATTCCATCTTAATTTTCACGATATAATTATCATTAGAGGTCTGGGAAAACAATTTTGCTTGGCACTGCAAAAGAATTTTAAACTTTGACTATTCGACTCATTTTTGACGTTTCTTTTTCGAACCTTATGACATATAATTATTAAAAAGCACTGTTATATTTAAAATAAAAAATAATATTCATTTTTTCAAGTAATGTACCGTGTATCAATTTTTTTGTGTGTAATAGGCGATGGACTCCATTTCCAATTTGATGTGCGAACAAGTTTGGACGTGAGTGACCTGGGTTTTTTCCCATCCTACGAGAGACACTCATTCGACCTGTTCGCGTCTTCGGGAGAAAAGTCCGACCTGTTGTATCTCAACCTGGACTCTGGTCAGTATTTCTTGTTTTATCCACCATACTGAAAAATCAAGACCTGCTTATGAATTATTAACTGATGGGAGTGGGATTTTATGAATGTGTATTCGTGCTGTTTCGGCATCGTCCAACATTTTAATTCATCAAAAAACTGTGCATGGAAAATTTCTCACTTTTTCAGCATAACTATTTATTTCTTATACAGTAAAGCACTAATGTATTTTGTCGAAATAATATCATTGGAAATTATTTGAATTTTGATGGACTGTCGAAATCCGTGGGAACTTTTGATCAGTGCTGTCACTGCAGTGGCATGAGACTTTCAACACAAAGCAATTATAATTTCAAAGAAGCGCAGAATTCAAACTTGAGCTTTTGAACTGAAAACTTGCAAACAAAAAACTTTCAGTTTTCAAATTATTTTGCATGTGAGAAACAAATATGTTCTTAATAACTCTTGTGGAACTCATAAAATGTCTTTGTCACAAGTTTAAAGGGGTAGTTCAGAAAAAACTGAATAAAAGGTGTCACAATTCAGGGAGCAGAATTTTCCCCCAAACACCCTGAACTAATTTTTTGCAGATTCTTCATCAGACATACTGATGCATTCATTATTACAGTATTTTGATTCCTGAACACTTATTCAGTATAATTTCCCCAGAAGCTTAGTTTTCTAACTTTCCTAGAATTAATTTTGATCTCAACAAAGTCTGATTATGAGTTGGAGGAATCTTCAAGTACAAAAAATGTTGCTTGAGTTATTTGAGCAAGCCATTTTTCACACAGAGCCATATATTGAATGAATGAATGAACAGAACACTTTATTTGCTGCTTTTCAGCGTTCACAAGGTTCAATCAAGATTTCCACAATCAAACCCCCTTCCCACCCAACCCAAATCTACTCAATGACATTTAATCACTTCAGAGAAGGAAACACAGCACAAATTGATAACAAAAATAAAAGAAAATACAATACAACATGAAATACAACTGGACATCTGACATGTATGCATAAACCCATTCATTCCCTGACATATTGAAAACAGAATATATGTAAAAATTAATTTAAAGCGCAAGGTCTTCAGCTTGTTTCTGCATGAGGTTTAGTTGAATGAACAAATTATAGAGAATCTTTGATGAGCAATCATGTAAGGCCAACAGTTTATCTTGATCCTTTATGATTTCAGAAACAGTCTCTTCATTGAATTCCAATACAGTACCTGTAAATCTTTCTTAAGCTTGTTCCTATCAGTATGAAATGCTGGACATAAGAAGAGAAGGTGCTCTGGTGATGCACAAACTAATGCTGCAGGAGTTACACCAGGTAGACACTTTTGAAAATTGGATGGATTTTTTACTAAATTGCCATGCATTTTTCACTAAATTGCCATGCATTTTTACTAAATTGCCATGAATTTTTCAAAATAGCTATATATAGAGCTTCTTCTTGGTACAGAAAAATAAATGCATCAATTCTCATGCAAACCATCATTAGAAATTTATTTAGGAATTTCCAACAAATGAAGACCCAAAAAATGAAGAAATATTCATAAAACGAATCCTCAAAAAATTCTCCCTCGCAAGAGAACAAATAACAAGCATCATCACCCCCCATTCAACCAGTCAATTTGACAGAAGAGGACATCATCATCATCATCATCCTCATCATCATCATCATCATCGCCAGTCTTGACATGTTCCAGCTTGAAGAACCCTGTGCCCACGACAAACAGGAGGAATGAAGAAATTCGGATCACGTTCCTGACTATGGAACTAAATTGTCTTTCGTCGTCTCGCCATTATATCCCCCCCCCCCCAACAAATATATAAATGAAATAATAAATATATAAAAAATAGGGAAAAAGAGAGAGAGAGATTATAAAGCACCGCAGATAAGATGAGAGGCGGTTAAATGAACTCTGATCCCTCTTCATATCTCGTTCTCTCTCTCTCTCTCTAGACATAAATACACACACACACACACACTTCCCTCAGGGGGTTCTGTATGTATGTATGTGTGTGTGTGTGTGGGATCGAGTGCTGTCAATATCACCCCAAGAACCCCCTCTTATTTATACCCCAACCCCCTCCCCCTTTTTTTCATCGTCATCATCCACATGTCGACGACGGGTCTCTTTGCTGGGCACAAGCATCACGAAAACAATGCCAGTTCTTGTCGGGACTTTCCACTGTTTGGATGTGATGAGCTAGGTGTTCATATATCTTGGGAAAATTTTCCTGCCAACTTTCCAAATTTTTGGAAATTTAATAAATCATTTCCCAAGTCATTCTGAAAGTTAGTAATGATGAATTTTGTTGGCACAATGACGCAGAGAACTGATGGCTGCTTCGGATAATGGACTGCAGGAAAAGTGACTGTGATCTAGTACAGTACATAAAAAAACATCAAACTTTCTTGTGTATGGTGTGAAGAAGTATTTTTTTTAGACTATGAATAATAGCAATTTTTTTGAAAGGTCTAAATTGCTGGGCTACTGATGATATTTCCCTTACTTTGGAATTTAAAAATTTCCATCTGGTGATTCTTTGATCCCTTTTGTGAGATGTTTGCTGCATCTCAAACAGTTTTATTTTATTTCTGAAATGCATTCATATGTTCATGCCAGAGAAAGTCAGTCAATAATTATTTAATAATAATTGCGCGTCTCAAGAGATAATTGCCTGTATACTAAAAAACACTTTTTATAAAGCAATAGATTCAAAATTTTAAAGTTTTGGTTGACAGGTTTTTTGTTCGTGTTTTAAATTTTAAAATTGGTTTCTGAATGCTTTTCATGCAATTAGTAATTTTGAAGCAATTTTTCAGAGATCCAACATTGATCAAACATACACATTACAAATTCTAGGGACTGTTGAGGGTTTGGAATCAATTGAAAATTTAATTCCAATCAACACAACTTCAATAAAATATGTTTATAGCATATATATATAGTCACCACTATAGAATATGTGAAGTATATGCATCAATCAAAGACAATCTTGTGCAGAATAATTTTCAAATATGATTCTGTGGAATTACATATTTAAATTTAAAATGATGCCCAAGGATCAGAATTTAGAAAATAATGGTAAAGTTCAGATGATTGAGGATTGTATCAAGTTGAGTATCAAAAGTTTAGTCCATGGTCAAAGGGCAATACTTTTTTTATGCATGATTTTAGTTTGAAAGTAAATGGATTTTTGCAGGTTGTGCCTAATTACTGTAGTTGGTGAGTTGGTGACTCAGCAAGTATGGATGAATGAAAGAGTGAGTGCAGAACATTTTTTTCAAAAATTTTGATATTCCCATAACCTCCGTCAAATTTGATTTAAAGACTCATTTTTCAGGTGGGAAATTATCATTGAAAATAAGTAAAAATGGACACTGAGGAATTTAGGAAAGTGGGCAAGGAGATGGTGGACTACATTGCCACTTACATGGAAATCGGTGACTGCTGGCAAGGTTGTCTCGGGCGGTTCATTGTCGTCTGAGCCTGATCCCGGAGAGAAAAACTTTCCCAGTTCCGTAGTCACCTCGGAAAGAAAAGACTTATTAGCTTTGCTGGATTTCGGGGTAGCTATAACAGTTTTATTAGTATCCTCTGTGGAAGCAAAGGATTCATTTCCAGCTTCTGATGTTTCCATGTTGGGAGAATGAGTAGGTGTTCCATAGAACATCATATCGGGAGCAGATACGTCGAAGGCAGCTGATTTATTGACTACCTCTTCGTGCTCTTCTGGAACTTCTGCTTCTACCTCCTCAATTTCATTCTCCACCAATGGTTTAACGACTTCATTGTCATCCACTTTTTCGACAGGTTTTGTCGGTCCGGGTGATTGAGTAGACCATTTTTTGGGTAACACCTTGGGAAAGACCTTTTGTTCGACTTCATCAAAGTCATCTATTTCTTCGATTTCTAGATTAGTATCTAAGTTAGTAGAATCTGCATTTCGGATTTGAAAAGGTCGAATATAACTAGTATGAACTACATCGGTCCAACTACTATGTTGGTCATCTCTGATGCGCACCACAACGGGATTAACAATTTCAATAATTGTGTAGGGACCCTTGTATTTGGCACTCCATTTCTTTCCCACAAAGGAGAGGGGGTGTTGTTTAAGCCAAACTTTGTCACCTACATTATACGCTGTTCCCTTCCGGTGCACATTTAACCGTTCTAAATTCTAAGTTAGTAGAATCTGCATTTCGGGTTTGAAAAGGTCGAATATAACTAGTATGAACTACATCGGTCCAACTACTATGTTGGTCATCTCTGATGCGCACCACAACGGGATTAACAATTTCAATAATTGTGTAGGGACCCTTGTATTTGGCACTCCATTTCTTTCCCACAAAGGAGAGGGGGTGTTGTTTAAGCCAAACTTTGTCACCCACATTGTACGCTGTTCCCTTCCGGTGCACATTTAACCGTTCTAAAT